GTCTTTGTTTGCTTTTGGAATCAGGGTGATATTGGCTTTATAGAATGAATTTGGAAGTACTCCCTCTTTTTCTATTTCCTGAAATAAATTGAAGAGTATTGGTATTAGTTCATCTTTCAAGGTCTTGTAGAACTCAGCTGTGTATCCATCTGGTCCTTGGCTTTTCTTGGTTGGTAGTCTTTTGATGGCTTCTTCCATTTCCTCATTTGATATTGGTCTGTTTAAGTTGTGTATATCTTCCTGAGTCAACCTGGGCAGACTTAAGGAATTTATCAATGCCTTCACTGTCTTCTATTTTATTAGAGTATAAGTTTTCAAAATAATTTCTAATTATCTTCTATATCTCTGTAGTGTCTGTTGTGATATTGCCTTTTTCATCACATATGCTGGTAATTTGAATTTTCTCTCTGCTTCTCTTCATTAGCATGGCTAAGAGTCTGTCAATTTTATTTATTATTTCTAAGAAACAACTTTTAGTTTTGTCAATTTTCTCAATTATTTCTTTTGTTTCAATTTCATTTATTTCAGCTCTGATTTTAATTATTTCTTGCCTTCTACTGCTTTTACTGCTGATTTGTTCTTTTTCTAGGGCTTGCGATATAGTGTGAGGTCATTTATTTGTTGACTTTTTCTTTCTTTAAGGAATGAACTCCATGCAATAAATTTTTCTCTTAGTACTGCTTTCATAGTGTCCCAGAGATTTCGATATGTTGTGTCTGTGTTCTCACTTACCTCTAAGAATTTTTAATCTCCTCCTTGATGTCTTCTGAAACCCATTGTTCATTCAGTAGCATATTGTTCAGTTTCCATGTGATGCAGTATTTTTTATTCTTTATTTTGTCATTGATTTCCAATTTCATTCCATTATGATCTGATAAAATGCATGGTAGTATTTCTAGTCCTTGGTATTTACTAAGAATTGCCCTGTGGCATAGTATATGATCTATTTTTGAGAAGGATCCATGTTATGCTGAGAAGAAAATGTATCTTCTTGATGCTGGTTGATATATTCTATATATGTCAGTTAAGTCTAAGTTATTAATTGTGTTATTGAGCTCTATAGTTTATTTATTCAACTTTTGTTTTGAAGATTTATCAGTGGTAAGAGAGGTGTGTTAAAGTCAACTAAGATATTTGTGTTGTGGTCAATTTGACTCTTGAACTTGAGAAGAGTTTGTTTGATGAACATAGCTGCACCGTGGTTTGGGGCATATGTAATTTATGATTGTTATGTCTTGTTGGTGTATGTTTCTCTTGAGCATTATGTAATGTCCATCTTTATCCCTTTTGATTAACTTTGGCTTGAAGTCTACTTTATTTGATATGAGTTTGGAGACCCTGCTTGCTTCCGCAGTTCATGTGAGAGATATGATTTTTCCCAACCTTTCACCTTCAGTCTGTGCATGTCTTTTCCTATCAAATGAGTCTCCTGTAGGCAGCCTATTGTTGGATCTTTTTTAAAAACCAATCTGCTAGCCTATGTCTTTTAATTGGTGAGTTTAAGCCATGAACATTTAGGGTTACTATTGAGACATGGTTTGTATTTCCAGCCATATTTGTTTATTTTTGTTATTTAACTTGACTCGATTTTCTTCTTGAATTAGTTTTTCTTTTAGTGTACTACCTCCCTCTGCTGGTTTTCATTGTTGTTTTTACTTCCTCTTCATGAAATATTTTGCGAATGATGTTTTTTAGTGCCAGTTTTCTAGCTATCATTTCTTTTGTTTGTCGTGGAAGGTCTTTATTTCATCTTCAAATCTGAAGCTTAATTTTGCTGGATACAAGATTCTTGGTTGGCACCCATTATCTTTCAGAGTTTGAAATATGTTGTTCCAGGATCTTCTAGCTTTCAGGGTCTGTATTCAAAAATCTGCCGTTATCTTAATTGGTTTACCCAATTAATATATAATATATATAATATATAATATATAATCTGATTCCTTTCTCTTGTGGCTTTTAACATTCTCTCCTTATTCTGTATGTTGGGCCTTTTTATTTTAATGTGCCTTGGTGTGGATCTGTTGTGATTTTTCACATTCAGCTTCCTGGAGGCTTCTTGAAATTGGATTTCCATTTCATTCTTCATGTCTGGAAAGTTTTCTGATATTATTTCATTGAACAGATTGCTCATTTCTTTGATTTGGACCTCTATGCCTTTCTCTATCCCAATAACTCTTAAATTTAGTCTTTTTATGCTATCCCATGTTTCTTGGATGTTCTACTTGTGGTTTCTTATCATTATTGCTGTGCTGTTTATGTTCTTTTCAAGATGATATACTTTATCTTCATTGTTTGATGTCCTATTTTCTAAGTGGTCTACTCTGCTGGTGATGCTCTCATTTGAGTTTTTAATTTGGTTTATTATTTCTTTCATTTCAATGATTTCTCTTTGGGTTTTTTGTTTGTTTGTTTGTTTGTATAACCTCTATCTCCCTGTAGAGGTGATCTTTTGCTTTTTGGATTTCTTTATGTAGCTCATTTTCAAAGTGATCTTTCACTGCCTGTATTTGTTATATATTGTCTTCTTTGAGATTCCAAAACATTTTATTCATGTATATCCTGAAAACTTTATCTGACATTTTGTCTGCTGTAGCTGTTAATTCTTCTAATAATGTGTTGTCTTGAATTGTTTGTGGTACTTTCTTCCCTTGTCTTTTCATGTTGCTCACATTTCTTTCTTTCCAGCTCTGTGGGACTGGTGTGTTATTGTTTTTACCCTATAGATTTGTAGTACTCTTGTATAGTTCCAAGATCCCTCCTTTGTGGGGAAAGACAATGTTAAGAGTTTCCAATATGAACAATACATCACCTATGAACAAATTATTGTTATTAAGACATTTATAGTTAGTCTCAATGTCCAGAAATGTTGGATTCAATTATTATTTAAAATATAATCAGTAGTTTCATAAAACGTGTACAGCTTCTAGTGGTGGATAGAGATCTGGGGGTCGGGCATAGGACATTATGGTAATGGAGAAAGATGCGAGGGTGTGGGGTTAATATAACTTAGGAAATTTGGAGGAGAACTCTAATGAAGAGAGTTAGTAGCAGGGGAATAGACAGGAGGTAATTTAGGGTAGACAAGTAAGTGTGAGGATAGTAGGGTACATAAAAACAAACACATATATGTATTTAGAAAACCACATGAAGTAAAATTATGAGGTTGAAAGAGGAATAGAGGGAGGAAGAAAAATAAAAAAGAAAAGAAAGAGAAAAGAGAGAGAGTGAAAGAAAGAAAAAAAAGGGAGGTGTTTATGCAATTCCTCTATATTATATTATTCTGGTTACTCAGTTCTTAAAGTTCTATTTCATGCGAAGTTCTTGGTTTCACATATGTTGGGGTTGTGAGGGCCAGAGGAGGAAGGGTAGAGGAGAAAGAAAAAGGATAAAATAGAAGAGAAGGAAAACAAAAACAAAACAAAACACTCTTAGAATTCTGTTTCCTTCTTTTCTCTTCCAGTAGATGGAGTTGTCTATTTCAAGCTTGAGTCTCTGTCCTCAGGGTGGTGTAGGTAACAGTGTGAGAAGATTTGAGTCCCCCTCTCTTGCCTGGAGCTTCCCTAATCTTGGTCTCTCTGAGTTGCTCCTATTTTTTAGACCCCTCCCCTCTCTTGCTTATCAGGTCTCAACTGTGGGACCTCTCACCCTTCACCCTCTGGTTCTCACCAGGTGGGCAGTGCTCTATTCATACTGCGCTCCTTTTCAACTGAGTGCTGATTTTGTGCTGATAGTTACTATGCCTAGTTACCACTGCTGGGGGGAGGGGGAGTTGGAAACCAGGTACCTGTTCAGTCAAAGATCTGTGCTGGGCTGGGGATGTGGCTTAAGCGGTAGCATGCTCACCTGGCATGCGTGCGGCCCGGGTTCGATCCTCAGCACCACATACAAACAAAGATGTTGTATCTGTGGAAAACTAAAAAATAAATATTAAAAAAAAAAATTCTCTCTCTCTCTCTCTCTCTCTCTCTCTCTCTCTCTCTCTCTCTCAAAGATCTGTGCTGATAGCCACACCCACCAAAAAATAGTGAGAAAGGTTTTCCAAGATGGAGCCCGTCTGTTTCCCACATTGGGGTGTCTGGTGAGGTGGGAGGAGCTGGAATGTCCTTCTGCTGTGGCTAGAATGCCGGGAGTGGAGCTTACTCTGGAATTCTGTGCTCTGCAGAGGTGCTGATTTGGTGCTTCAGCTCTGCCTCTTGAGAGTCGCGTGTCCTCCAACTGCGGGCTTTGGGACCAGAATCTGGAGTCTTACAGAACACAGAGGCTCTGAGTTCTGCTTGGGTGTTCACAGCTCTGGAATTTTCTGTGAAAATCCATTGTATGGGGTTCTGTCACACGCTCTGAGATGTTGTATTCCGTCTAGGTGAGACCCTGTGGAAAAGCCGCATGACTGCTTTCTAGGATTCATGCACAGAGCATCCAGAAATGGTGTCTCCTCTATTCCGCCATCTTGGATCCACTCTCCATCAGTTCTTAATATTTAAAACATGTCTAGGGTTTGCTATGAACCAAGTATTGTTTTAAGTTAATTTTCATGTACTAAGTAATTTAGATTCTAACTAATTTTAAGTAAATTTCTAGCTAATTCTAATTATAATAGCTAATTTGCTGAGGTAATCAAAATTTTCAATAATATTCAAAATGTTAAATCTGTAATCTAGACTCATCTTAGTAAGATATGTGCCAAACATTACTATATGTTATTATATGTGCCAGTTATCTGAGTTTTGTTTTGGTTTTTCAACATAATTTCAAGTTCTTCCTCTGAAAAGAACACTTCACCTGTATATTTCACACAGTAGCCAGTGGGTGACAGTAATGAAACTCAGGCTACCTGCCTCCTACCCTCTGGCTTTTACCAGCAACACTTTCCACTTGCACATTTTATAACACAGATTTTATAGGACACCAGCTTCTCACATGACTCAGGAGTAGAATGCTGTCATTAATGATAGAAGATTAGCATTAAGGGGACATTTCATTATACAAGAGGAGCTCAAAGGTCAAGAAATTCATCTATATTTTTTACTAAGAAGTATTTTAAATCCATATTTCTTTTCTATATGCCATTGGTGGTGACAACAGGTTAAAGATACCATGAATATCATATATGTCCAATGTTCAGAAAAAAATATTGAAAAATACATTTGTAAAACAATAAGGAAAGTAGTTCAATTTGTTCCTGATTGAAATAGCCCACGGATATCATGCAGTATCCCATTCTGTTTAATTAATTATTTGGTGTATATAATTAATATATATAGCACCTCAGAACTTATAAGATATTTTAAACCATTGTTTATGAGGACTAAATGTTACCAAGCATCTGCAATACAAAGAAAAATGGATACAGTCCTTTAGAAAACATGGGTATAAAAAATAACTTAAAAGGTATTACAAATGCTATAAAACTAAGTAAGACTTTACTCTAAACAGGAATTTTGGAAAATCATAGTATTATGTTTTCTGCTTTCTAATATGGCATATGATGTTTAATATATGAACACTTTAATATTTGAACACTTCTTGGAACCCATGGTGTTGATTCTATTTTTATTTTCACATACAATAAAGGAGCTTATAATTGTGTTGAACACAAAATACAAACAAACAAACATACTTCATTGCACAGAAAATGCTTCACATGAAGTAGTGCACATGACAAAGCTGATTAGGAAAGGCACAATCTTATTACCAGAAGAGACTAGTATTATTCCAAGTTTGAAAAATACAGAGTATTTACTGATAGAGATTTGCCACCCCTTATATTGCACATTTTTCAACATTTTTGTCTGTTTTACAAATATTCTTCATAGTTTTTGTTTTTTTCTTTTCTTCAAAAAACACCATGTGAATAATTTTAAAGGCAAAGAAATTTGTACCATTGACAAATACCTGCCTACAATTGAGGAAGTTTAAAAAAAAAAAGAAAGACAAATGCTATTCTTTTGGGGATAAATATGACAAAGTAACCTGGCAAAGGCCTCCGAACAGAGGAAAATATTACACAGTTTAGTTTCATAAACATGTTCACTTATAAATGCTAAGTTTAAGAAATTCATTTATACCAAATATCCATTCCTAGTCAAAATTCCATTTGTTTACATTCACCTTTTGCCTCCACCATCAGCTTTTTCAAGCAGCGCAAATGCAGGAAGGACACTCATTGTTCGTAGTCATTCAACAATAAATAATAATTCCTAACCTATTGTTACTTCTGGACTTGAGTACATAAAGTGCATTTGAAAAGTTTAATAGTCATTCTTCTTATTCTTGGGACATGACTGTCAATCAACCTGCAATATTTTCAGCTCACAGAAGAAGGAGTCCACAATGCAGATTTTTCCTGGAATTTCTCTCCATTTTGTTCCAAAGACATATTTATAAAAGTTTGTTCACCATGTCTTTGTGGACATCTGACACAAAGTAGCATCATTTGACACAACTTTCCTTTAGTTCCAGCAACAATGGTTTGAGTGAATATGCTTGCTCATTATCTGAAGGGTTTGCTGCAGACCCAGGGTAAATTCCTCTCACATTCTGCACTGCTGATATCTGTGCTGTTCAGAAATGCACACTTCTCAGACCCTGTCAGGTTGAACCTGTCAAACAATGAAGACACTCAGAATTATTTTCAATTCGTCATTTCCATTCAGTTACATGAGAATAAACTTAACGGTCACCTCTACTATTTTTCCTTAGGAGAAATTATGAGACAAATCTGCCAGTCAAGTTATCATAGTCTAATCTGTGGGACAATAGACAAAAAAAAATGAAGGAATAGCATGCAGAGAAAAGATACAGAGTTAAGAGTAAAGTGCTCCATTTGTTTGGTAGGCATGTCAACAAAGGGGTGATTCTAGGTCATTTTGAGTTCATTGATTCTTCAAGATATACTTCAGAAATTACATGCATTCAAAAGTCATGCATACTTGTGAATACATATTTAGGGTGTTTATAGATCTTGCAGCCCATCTGTAGATATGAGACTGTAAGGACACATATTAAGGATACCTTTACTATAGATCTGAATTTGGATCTTGATGCTGTATCTGTAATTATCCTAAAATTATTAATAGTGAGAAATTTATTCCATTCTGAATTTTGAGAAAGCCGAAATCAACACCAAACTTATAAAATGTCTCTCAAAAACAGAATAAGTATCTTAAATTCTCTGGCAAGTTTCTTCAGGTTCATAGAAATTAATAATTAGGCATAGATTATGTTGTTCTTTATCCACACAGATATGAAAACTAGGAAAGAGAAAGAAGAAATTCTTTTCCAGGAACTATCTCATCAGTCATCTCCTTAGAATATTTCCAAACAAGCTAATTTCGATCATTCATACTAGAGTTTACTGAGGAAAAATTACTATAAGAATTTATTGTCAGAATCCTAAGTTGATAAAAATATAACAAAGGCTGTCTTGAAAGGAGTCCATTGGATATAAGCATATAAAAGAAAATTTTAAGAGCTCTACTCATGAGTATCTCAACCTTCACAGCCAACTGGGATTTGCAAGAAGAAAAGAAAAAAAATTAAAGGTTAAATGAAAGAAGAAAGGGAAAGCATTTTTCCTGTGGTGACAGCCTGGGAACAATAAAGAAACTTCTTGACTTACCAGTTGTGAACTCTGCCATCTGACCATTTCCATTTCTGACCGTCTTCATTGTTCAGCCCAATCCAGTGTTCAGCTCCTCCCACATATCGTTTCAGGAAGTTCTTAAAACATAAAGGAGTTGTTATGTTAAACAACTGTCTGAGGAAACATGTATTTATTAGATCTGATTTTTAAAAGCTTTAATTTGAACATAATGACTAAGGCTGATCATTTATTATTTCTATATAGGAGAAGCTTATTTGGACTTCTGGCCTTTGAAGCTAAGCAGTCAATAATCACTTTTCAAAGTCCATATTGAACTCTCATTTTGAACTCAGAGTGATCATATCACTTCTGTGACAATTTTCCTAAATGTGCAATAGATACAAAGTTTTAACTCAGAAAGAAACCACAGATTGCCTATTTAAAACAAAATAGCATCATTTTGTGAAGTTATTTTTGAATCTTACCATGTCCTTTTCAGATTCAATGACAGCAAGAGTAGCACCATCTTTGGAACAAGAGTTTTTTGCCAAAATCCAGCTCTTTGTTGTGGTGGAAATAAAGTAGCATTTCCTCTGGTACACAACCCACTCTTCTGAGCATGAAGGATCATGGGTGTCTGAAGGCACTGGGAACTTATATTGCCCTGGACAATTATATTGGCCCACTGTGAAAAGGAAAATGTTTTTTTTTTTTTTTTTTTAGTAACAAAAGAAATCAAAAAGATTCAGCATGTAAACTTAGTTTAGGTATGATAGAGAGTGAGAACCAGGAAAGAGAGAAGGAAGAAGAAAGCAGTTGCTCACTTATCTAACTATTCTTTGTGTCTATTCATCATCAGATGAGGTATGAGCATAAGGGGTATCTCTTTGGTCACTCAGACAGTGGCAGGGAAAATAGAAAAAATCCTGGAGGTAGTCTTTGAACTAGAAAGTGTAATATACATTGTAAATTCCAAGTAATGTTGTACGTTTAAATGAGGTGGAGATGTAGGAATTTGAAGATACAAGAGGTACAATACTAAATTGGGAGATGAAGCAGAGAGTAATTGTCAGGTAAATAAATCAGAGTAAAGAAAGATCAATGGCTAGAGATGTTTCATAAAAATGTAAAATTTCCTATAGTTAAGACACAGATGTATCTAGTTTACATGATAAAATAATATGTATTCAGTACCATGTCACTGCTGACTGAGAATTTCTGCTATAGTCTTAATAACTCAGAACTAACATTCTGTGGCTTTGAGATAAGAGACAAAAATAAATGACTGGCCAATTTTTATTAATCTATGCTTTAGATATTATTTTTATCTGCCAATGATGAATGGAAAATACACATTTTTTTTCTAGCTAAATGTCTCTTCATTTAGAATTCATATTAGCTTCTTTTCTTCTAGATGTAAAAGTCTGCTCAACTGTGCTTTTCTCCTATAGTGATATATAAATCATAGACACTTAATACTCATAAAAGCAATGTAGTAATCATTCAAAGAACATTATATTTTGTACTGATTAGAAATTTGGCCATGTATGGTATATGAGATTATCCTAAATTGAACAGAATTTCTGATTAACTAGACTGAGCTAATACCTATTGATTTCAGCTGGGCATCAATGCTTACAGCTAGGAGACTTTGCAAGAACTCATAAAGTGAAGACCCACCTGATAAGGTGACGAGAGCTATGATTAAAATGGTGATGAAGACCACATTCATTACAGCACATGGAATAGGAACTTGAAGAGACCCTTCATGATGTGTTTCATAATGGAGGCTGGTGGCATTTCCTGAAAGGAAGAAAGTTTTTGATGAATTCAGGCAGACCTTAGATGGGGCAATCTTTTGTGGTGTTTAAATGAAAGAAAGAGAGAGAGAGAGAAACAGAGAGAAAGAGAAAGGTAGATAGGTAACATATTTTGTGAAAAGGAAAAACTAATTTTTCCAAAATTTTGTGTGAACTTAGAAAATGTCTTATTAGATAAAAATAAAACATTTCAGTCATAGTTCTGAGGTCATAAAATATCACCCAATATTTGCACATACTCATATATGAATTTAATATACACAATGGATGTACTTTGTACCTATAAGAATTTTAACCACATTATCATTTTCTTGTTTTAATTATAATACAGTATTTATTAAGCACCCATAGAGGACATACAAAAAAAAAACATCATGGGATAATCCCTTACCCTCTTGGCAGTTACTGTTTAAGAGATGTTTCATAAAAATGTCAAATTTCGTATAGTTAAGACACAGATGTCTTTAAGAGAGATGATATGAATGGGATTGGAATGGATAATGTAAGGAAATAGAAAATCACAAAGCTAGAATGATATAAAATTTTAAACACCTGAGAGTATTTTTGATGAAGTTAGTGCAGATGTGGAACAATTGAAATGTTCATACATTGTTGGTAGGAGAGTAAATTGGAAACGGTTTCTTAAAAAATCAACTAAACCTCTAGTGTATGATCCAGCCTCTTACTCCTCTGAATAGCTAGTGTCAACATCAACTTTTGCTTATTCTAGGGTTTTTTTTCCCAATGTATGTCTGCATTCAGATTTTGCAAGAGAAACCTTTATTTTATTCCTGTCTAGTTCTATTTCTCTCAGTTTCTCAAAGAAATTCCTCCTGTTTTACACTTGTATACAATTATCATTAGAGACAGCCTTTGGTAGGTCAGGCAACATCTGTCTAGTTTCACTTTCCACCACGTGAGACTCAATCATTCTGCTTGAACTCAATGCAGCAATACATCTGACTCCTCAGCAAGCCCTAACACATCCACACAGCTGTTGAACATGAGAGCCAGCTCAGCCCGTTGGCCCAGATCTGTACTTTATTTACATTAGTGAGGGGTATGGCTAACCACATTTGTTCTATCACCTAGGTGACAAAACATTCCCCCAACAGCACCCTTTTGCTGTGATTATAGATTTTCTCCATTAATGGAGGTGAAAACAGACCCACCTATTTATTACCTATCGACTTGCTCAAGAGCGATGGCCAGCAATTGTTCATACTACTAAAATAATTATGATGGAAACACAGATTAAGCATTTGACAATAAATCTGTATGATCTCAGGTAAAGTTAATAATTTCTGTATCTGGTCCTTCTTTCCACTATGCTCTTTTTATTAATATCTTGCATTTATTAATATCTTTTCAAAAATCATTTTACTTTTTAGCAGCTTGACTGGGCTGTAAAGTCGTGGTTCACCTGGTTACTTAAAAATTTACATGTCTTACACTTTTTAGTCACACTTGACTTCATGTTCTTAAAACAAATAATAAGTTAATCAAAAATGAGTAATATTTTTCTAGAGTAAACCAATCTAGTAGATATACACTGAGAAAATGATTTCTTCCTCAGAGATTGTTTTGGCTGTGCTGTTTCTAACACATTTCTTTATTAACTGGACAGCTCTTGCTTACAACTTAACTCAAAATACTAATAGTGCTTTAGCTTACTACTTATTAGGAAGTAAAAGGAATAAATGAAAAAATATCAGGAAAGTCTTACAGAAAAAGACAGAAAAATAATGGAAAATTATGTTACTAGGAAATAGAATAGATGTGTGAATAAAACAGAAAAATAGAAGAAAGGAGAAAATTACAAGATAATTGCACTTTGATGAAAAAAAAAAAGAAAATTTGTCTGCTCATCTAGAAGTTGAAGTCAGTGATTATAAAAATGAAATTGGAGGGTGAAACTGAGGGAAAGAGCCCCCAAAGGAACATCAAAACAGAAGATTGTATTTTTGAGACTTTTTTTTTCATTCTCTTAATAAATTGCCATTGAGCACTGTAAATGTTTAGACGCTCATATAGCTGTTTTCTCAGACTGGAAACTTGTACATATTTAGCAATTAAAAGATACTGTCCTGAGAACACAGCATGAACAGGATGATGCTCACAGAAAGCAAAGGTCTAAGGGTAAACAATCAAGAATGTTATGGTCTGTGAAAAACAGAATTTTTCACAGGGAGAGGTAAAACTTCCTGGAATAGGCACAGGTGGACATGGAAAAATAATGGAGAGTAACTAGGCTAGGACTGGGAATTTTTTATTTCGATATAAAAAGTGAGATGCTATAAAGTTGATTTAAAGGAAAAGATCTTTAAATTTCTTCTGAGAGTCACCTTGTAGCTTCCACTCTAGCAGGAATTCTATCTTCTCACAAGAGGAATTTCTCTCTTCCCAGTTTCTGCTGACTGAAATGGAACCCAACCAAGCTCTTTAAAAGTGCCCTATTTTCTTGCCTCAGTACCACTGTCTGTCATTTATAGAAATACTACTGGAATGTAAGAATCAGGCGTGACTTACTTTTTTGTCCTTTCTCCAGATTCAGAGAGCTCTTCTCTGTTATGGAACAATCTTCAGAATTCATCCTTATCCTCAAGGTTCCCTGGTGGACCTCAAGTCAAGTCAACCTCCTGGGAGTTCTTCCTGGAGCTTATGTTCAGCATCTGAGTCTCTGAGGCTTCTCAGCATTTATGTTCCTTTAGGGTGACTCCACCCCCTTCCTCTTACCTCCTACTTGTCTAACTCTGCCAGTTCTCTTTAATTTACGCTCCAGTGGACCAGACAGTTCACTGTGTGTTGTTGTGGTGAGGTGTGGGTTTTCCCTGCTGTCTGAAATGTGCTTTCTCACAACTATAGGTGCATCGTGAAGAGACAAGTGGGATTTTCCCAGAATCAGAAACATCCTTCCTTAAAGTTTTAGAAAACTCAGATAATGTAGAAGATAGCATAATCTAAGTAAAGAATTAAGGGTTAGAGCTTCCTAATTGATATGGAAATAATTTGGAGGAGAGTGTAATGGTTTCCTGGAATCCCATTCATTTATTCATTCATACATTTAACAACTGGTATTTATTAAACATGCACTATGTACCTGATGCTGTTGGGGGCTAGATGATTTATTGCTTTATAAGAATTTTAAAATCTTCGTTCTCATGAATCTCACTTCAGCTTGGAAACATTTTAGGAAGCTGTGCATTGGCTTTCGGAAGTATGTCACTCCCTTCTTCCCTGGGGACTAGTTCCTTTAAGGTGTCATTTAGCTAAGTAGTTGCCTTAATACAGGAAATAGAAAGCTTGTGGTCTGGAACTTCCTTGCTGTGTTCTAAAATTGTTTATCTTAAATTGTCTGTTTCATCATCTCTGCTATTTTTTTGAACTTCACTGTCACTTAGACTGCCTTTTTTTCACCTAACTAATATCTTTTTTTTCTATTTTTCCCTGAGCTTTTTGGTTATTCTGCTCAGATCTCTCTGAAGCTTCAGACCTTTTGGGGATGATTACTATGAAAATATACTGTTAGAAAAAAAGAAAATATATTGTTATGATAATGATCTCATCCAGATAAGTATTAAGGTCAACACAAAATGAATGCAGAATGTCAAGGTACCATGACTTGAAGGTGAGGGAATCAAAATACCACTTTGGTTAATTTTGGTGCCAAAACTTTGTCACTAAAATCACTTATTTTAGAGAAGTCATTCTATTTACAGAGTAAAGGCATTGTGATAATGGTATACTTAGGTGGGTTGGAAATGACCATCTATAGAAGTTAGTTGGGTCATCAGGTGTATTTGTCCATGTAAGTCACACAGAGGAACATGGTGTTCCCAAAATCTCTCTTTGCCTCTGCCTTATTTTCCTAGGACCTTTTCCATGTAGCAACTGGATGTATTTTAAGTAAGTCATACCATTTTAGTGAGAAGTTCAATTCCTACTCCCTCTACCCCCAAAGGCATCCTGTTAAAGGTGCCATGATATCTGAAGGCCTTCTTATATTTGGGAAGGGATTATATATGGTTCGGCCCCTGGCTACCTCCCCTCCTAATCACTATCCTCCTCAACAGTAACCTCCTTGCTGTTCCATACAAGCCTCAAACATGCTACCATTGCAGGTTCTTTAACATGTGTTCTATGAAGAGCTCTTCCTTCATTTGCCTGAAAGTTTTGCTTTCCCTTTAGCTTAATTCACCGGCTGATCCAGTGTCATCTGCCCAGAGACTCCTTTCCTTGTCCTCTCAAAAAATATAACATCACACTCTATACCTCCCACACCTTTGCTTTCTCTATATCATTGTCATAACTAATACCATGTCATTGCTCATCATTTACTTTCCTTACTAGACTGTAAGCTTCTTGAGGGCAAGGACTTTGACTTCTCCCTTCAGTGACTCTAAGATCTGTCATGGTAATTGGACTCCACTACATGTACAACACATGCCCACTAAATGAATGAGTGAATGCATACAATTTCATTAATTAATGAAAAAAGATGCTCACAACCCTAAAAGTTCCAAAATACAGGGTGCTACTCAAGGAGGTTTGCAGTGTTGTATAGTTGAGAAGTACATGGCTTTAGACTTCCATTGGACAACAAAGGAGTATGAAAATATTTTTGTATGACAAAGGAGGTGCTAAAATTAATACTTAGAGGAATAACAGGGACTATTGCAAATGGCTTTGCTAATTTCTTTGGGTTAAAGCAACTTCTATCTTTTATTTATTTATTTATTTGGGTACTAGAGATTGAACTCTGGAATTTGGCAATCCTCTTACTTCAACCTCCACAGTCACTACTATTAGAGGTGTACACTACCATGTCTGGATAAACTTCTTTTAAATGTTTATCTATGTTTGTAAAGTTTGAAGATTTGGATTAATATATACACTCTGTCAATAATTTCACTAATTTAACACACTCTTGTGAACAATGCAAAATATAACATCACTATTATAAATCTGTGACATTACTTGAACTATTCCTAGTCTGTGGGTTCTAAAGAGTCAGAAAGAAAATATTCTTAAATACAACTGATAACCTTTGTCATGTATCTTTTCCATATGCAAAGAAGAACTTTTCAACAACTGGTTGGACTCACATGGAACTTATATCCCAATTTTCTCAGTTACTTAATATACCTTTCTCCCTTTTGGCATTTTATATAATAAAGTTCAAAATCTTATTTCCCTACCTGGATACTAACTAACCTTGACATTTGAATCTTCTAGAACAGTTAGTTAGGTTAACATTATGTTTAAAAAATAGGTTTTCCAGGCAGATAATCATTCCTATCATTTCCCTTCATGTTCTCTACCAAGAACTGAACATTTTTATTCCTTAAAGAAACTTTTCATTTTATGGCAAGTGTGTTTACTCTCATTAATCACATTCTCAGATTTTTTCATGGCTATTTCTTCATATTTACATCTAACCCCACATATCGCCCCTCGATAAGACCTTCTCTGACCACCTACATAAATTACCTCCCATTAGCCTCTGTTTATTACTTCACTCTGTCTTTTAGTTGAGAGACACCACAATCTGAAACTTTGTAGCTCATCTATTTATATAAGCTTTAAAAGTCATTGTTATTATTTTTATTTGCACAACTAGAAAGCAAGGTGTTTAAGACCAGGCACATGCCTACCTTATCTAACAATGAACCTTATATAGGTTCCAATGTAGAAGGAACTCAAGTATTGTTCAGAGATACATGAAACAATATGTTTATTAACTCAATAATTAACAGTTTAGATTTAGAAAAATCTATATAACTCCACTGAGCTTTAGCCTGCTTATGTATAAAAACTGAAAATATTAGCAGTTAATTGATAAAGTTTTTATGAATTAAAAAATTCATATTCTAGCACAGTGTTTGCTATATTTAGGTATTTGATGATAATTTAAGGGAGTGGGAGTTTGATACAGGTTGTGGAAGAGAAAGTGTCTCATTGACTAAGGCACTAAGCAATGATAACTGAGACTCAGCATAATTGTTGATGCAATATAATGTGACAGAGGAAGATGCAGGCTCCTAAAACCACTTCTAACAGATTTCATAGCACTAAGATTCTTGCTTATGTGCTCAAGATTTCTTGCTTCTTCCATCATAATCTGGTGAATATAAAATATGCATATATATTTATGAGTGAGTGTATATGTATGTTACAAATATACACATAAAATTGTTATGTGTAACGTATATAATATATATTTATTTAATATAACTGCCATTAGGTATAGACAAATGATACCTAGAAATCTCATTGTAAGAAAATGAATATCTTTAAACATTATAATGTTAATCAAACTCTTACTTCATTCTGAAGTCTTTTTTTTTTTTTTTGTCTGTCTTTATTAGGACTGCCAAAGTATTTTATTGAAATCAGCACTTGTGGGTAGGAGAAAACAGTCACTGCAAACAAAAAAAAAAAAGGAGCCAAATTGCCAAGAATGTATGTATCTTTGGGCCATCTAGGCAACCCTGATCCTCAGGTTGTTCCAGATTCTCCACAAGAGCCTGAACTTTGTGGCAAAATTAATTCTTTTTCATTAAACTTCTCTTCTCTTCTCCATCTCTGTCTGTCTTTGTTTACCCGCCCCCCTCTGTTAAGTATGAATAGCACTTGCCCAACATCTATTGTCCTGCTGTAATTAGTAAAAGCATGTCACTTCACCTGCAAGAGAATCCTCTTAGGTATAATAAAGCAAATGCTCCTGGAACTTTTCTGTATTTGTTAAACCAAAGGAAGATATCTCTAAATGTGAAATTCCAGGAAATAAGACAAGGCAAAATATAGAGGGGTCAGAATTCAGTGAGGGACAGATCTGGGTACCGGAGGGTCTTTTTAGTTGTCCCTTATTCATTGAAATATAGAAGCAAACTTCCCATGTAGTTATCCATGATGGATTTAATTCTCTACAGCAAAGTAACATGAAAAGACTTACTAAAAAAGAACCAATTGAGAAAATACAAAAGAAAAAAACTTTCACAAAAAAACTTTAATGTTCTTGTAAAATACATGACAATGTTTTATCTACCTTTCCTCTTTTTTCAGAGAGACTTTACATGTTTTACTTCATAAGTAATAGATTATAACATTAAGTGGTATCCATAGGGTAATATTAATGACAGTCTCCATTATGACTGACATTTCATAATTAGTTGAGAAAACTGAGGCTTAGAGAAGTTAGTGCCTGGGTAAAGTTGGAAAAGATCATTCAGGACACCTAAATTAAATGCAGCTCCCCTCCATGTTTGACCATATATGAACAATCCGGAGGAAGGTTTCAGAAAGGAAATGAAGTAATGTGAGCTCAATGCAAAGTGGTGCAGGGAAGGCAGGATATACAGTCCTTATCAGACAGCTGCTGCTTAGGGGCACATGTTCACAGGGACCACAACACTTCCGATCTGAGACAATTTCCGGAGACAACCTGCTCATCATTTTTTTATATTTTTTTTCAATGGGCAAATTAGGTTTCTGAATGCCCTTGATCTTCCTGTGAATCAAAGGAATTATAATCTTTTATTAAGTTAGTAAAAAGTAGGCAAATTGGTAAGATTCATTTTTAAGTCACAGGTGTGCATGTTTTTAAATTGATTACCGTAAAGTGAATAAAGGTAACCGTGAGTAAGTGGGGGATTTC